TCTTCAACTGCATTCAACATATTTGTCTGAGGGAAGATGAGATATGCCTTATTTTTATATAAATTAAAACAATTGTCATTAAATAGTCATTTGGGTCACTGCCACTATATTTTCTCTCTCAAAATTATTCTGTTTCCCCCTTTCCTTGAAATCAATTTGTACATTAATATTTTCATAACAAAGAGTGGCAAAGAGGGACAAATTAAATCAAATTTACTATGAAATTTGAGCTAGGTCAAGAAAAGTGGATTACGCAAATTACGCAATAAAAAACATGTATGAAAGATTAATTTGAAAATTAAAATTTTATGTGGTTTAACATAAATAAATGAACTCACATTAAAACAGAAATAAGAACGTTTAAAGGTGAAAATGTATGAGATTGTTTACGAAGTTGGGAACGAGATTGGGATACAAGAGTTATAAAGTATGACATCCTATAACATGCAGACACACTAGATGCCCTGGGTCGATACCCTCTGTGGCTTCAAAGCTCCCGAGCACCCCTCGCCTCAACTAATGAAATCAGTCACTTGAAAAAAATAAATGATGCAAGTGGTGAGTATAAAATTATACTAAGTAAGCAATCTACTTCTAGGCTCTTATCGCATCCATGTCCTAGTAGGTGTCCACGAAGTTTTCTCTAGGCTGTTGGTATGCAACCTTTGCTTCTCTTGGACTTAGGTAACTATCTTAGCCAATGTAGCGGAAACTCCTAAGTTGAGACGCTACCCCATAGAACTCTCTTCCTAGTGGGGACATCTTGGTATGTGCTAGCCTAGTCTAATTATCCATGAGAGGTTAGCTGGCAAACTCTACGTAGGACCATCATGTCACCCAAGATTGGTGGAGTGACCCCTCTATACTTCCTAGCAACTAACCTGTCGGTCACACAGCCCTAACAATTCTAGGCCTGATTTAACAGTACTGGTACTGGTATGGAGGAAAGTGGAAGTCTATTTGATGCCATACCCACTGTTATAAGCTTGGACACTTCCTTAGTCTTTTTAGTTTGTTGTGTCAGTCCTCTAGGTTACTGGGGCGGGTTGATGGCTTTGACTTGGACTCTCCTCTCCAAGTTTCTTTGTTCGGGCTCTTTAACCCTTACTTGATTTGAGAGTACTAGGGTCTAGACCCATTGATCGCCACTCATGATCCTAAGGTGTTCAGTCTGTTTGAGTCGTCCGGTCTCTAGAAATCGTCTAGCCAACCTATCTCTAATGTCCTAGTCTTATCTCTTAATAGCTACATTATTTCTATCAGGGAGAACACACACTCATGCACCGGAAGCTAATGTACAATAAGACATGCAATTCAACCACATATGCTCAACGGAATGATAACATCCATCAAATAACTAGAGCACAGATCACAAGTTCTCATCATCCTTTCAACATATCTATGAACATATTAGTAGTAAACAATCCATAACAGTAATTAAGGAGCATTTCTTAAATTTCTACAATATGTGTGGCAAATCTCGTGCTTAATCGATCTCTCTAGGCTCTAATCATACTGAATCTATCCACCAAGGGTAGGATTTACTAACATGAATGCATTTCCAAGCAATCCCTATAAGTCTTACAAAGAATCTATGTGGTTACTTACCTGGTTGCGCGTGCCTTCTTGAATATGATTTCTCCCAAATGAGGTATCCAAAATGTTTGAATTTCTTCTTATGGAACCTAATTCACTTTAAGATAAGGTTAGTATCAAAATCGGGATAAAAGACTGATATACGGAGGCTGAACAGATAAAAAAGGGACTCACACGCGCAACATATGTATTAAAGAGGGGTCTTACACGCGTTTACACACGTATGTATTGTCACAATTGCACTCTTGTATCAACAAGATAACGATTATGCAACACTTGTTCTAGCTCGATGAACAAGTCAATTGTTTGAAAATCAAACCTTGAGGATAATCTTGACGTATGATCGAGCTTTTAAGTCACATTTAGTAGAATTTTTTTTTATGAAACATGAGCGAAAAAATGTGTTGAAAACAATTTGAAAGAAAAGAATTTTATAGGGTAAAAGAAAATAAACAATAACATAATATTGATAATATATAACCATTAAAATGAAGTATTTCTGCATTAAATATTCATGATATGTATACCGTAGCAACTTTAGGTTAAGTACAAAATTTAGGGTCGTTAAAAATTGTATGAGGTATGTTATTTTGCATGATGCTTACAATGAATATCAGGTTATAATGTCAATTATGCCTATCTATGTATGTTTTTTGAATGTCATGTTATGCTAATGTGAATCATGAAAATTATTGTTGAAAGGAAATGCTTGTGATGTTGCATCGTGTACTAAAATTGATGCTTTCAAATTATGGGAACTGATTGATGTGTGTGATTCATGAAAGTATCAAAAATAATATTATTAACGTTTCCTTCTTTTCATGACTCTTATGGGATACCTTCCTACATGTAGTATGTATAGGATCGATATTATATGAAAGTGATATAAAATATGTGTATATCTAATAAAAGAAATGAGACCGTTGGTTATGTGCGTACAAAAGTGGGGCACATAGGGTTGTATGTATAAAAGTGATATACATTTAAAGCCTAAAAGAACATTCATCACCCTTTAGGTGGCGTTCTAGCAAATATTCTCATTTTGCAATCACTTTTATGCTTCAAAAGTTGTGCTTTCTATCTTATTCTCAACTTTAAGTTTGTTCCTTTAGACGAGACAACCACTCATGTCCCTATAAGTCGAACAACTCAATCTTCTTCTCCTTGGTTCATTAATCAAGTTGTAACACCCTATAATGAAGAAACTTAGCTTCAATAAGAATAAGCCGCTCATGTCAAAGGATTAAAGAAAAGAAATGAAGGGATTTAAGCATGGGCAAGAGTCTTAAGAAAGTCATTTCTATATCCTAAGAAGTAAGCCCTAAGGTGCGAGTTCAGACTACGTCACTTGAAACACATGAAACCTTGGACGTAGGTTAAGATTGTGTTGCTTGGTACACATGAACCCTATAACACAAGTTGTTAGGTTCATGACTGATATCATAAACTCTAGGGGAGTGTTTTGGAGAAAGAACCAAGAACATAACAAGAACCTAGAAAATAACCAAGAACAAGATAAAGATGAAGGACTAGAACATGAATCAAGATCCAAGTTTTAAGGACAGGAACCATAGTACTTAGGCCCTCAAAGAATAACTAAGGTTTTAGAATCCAAGGACCAATGTCCTCGAGATAGATCATGAAAAGAACTCCAAATCAAGAACATAACTAAGGAGCCTAAATACTTGCAATAATAACCATAACAAGACAAGAAAGAGTGTGGTACCCTAGCATATCAAGAACATGATTAAGAGCCTACAAGTAGGCTACTTACTAAATTTTTGTACTCATTCCTTATTTTCCATGTTTTTCACGTAATAAGAAGCTGGTCGAGATCGGATAGGACTCTAGGGTAGATGCATTTATATTCCAAGACTTAGACTAGAATATGATATTTTTAATTTAAATGTTTATTTATTTTATTTAGTCTTTCATTATGCCATTTTAAAGATGTTTTCAATCACGTAAGTCTATGACAGTGTTTAAGATGAAGTAAGAAGTTTAAAGCTTATTTCTGCATAGAAATTATTACGCTATGATGACGGTAGTGACTCTAGGTAAATAGAAATCTAGGGTCATTACATACCTACCAAGGATGTCTAGAGTCGCAACAATTGATTTCCAACCGCACAAGAAGGTTTAACTAAGAGTCTCATGAAAGTGATTACTCATTTAGTATTACTTTAACATTGTCGTATGTATCTTGGTGGCACAAGCCATACTAAAGAAATAAGAAATTGAGTACTTGATAGAAAGTCGAGTCGAGTTTCCACCTCCTAATATGAATTAGATTGGTATGATCTCAAACACTTTTTCCTTTTCAAGTGTGTATTCATGTTAAAATTAACTTTAACTAAATTACTTTTTTTGGTTTCTAAAAGTTAAATTTGATCTGATTTATTAATTAACAAAGAATTAAAACATATCAAATAAAATCCAAAAGTTTAAAGATGGAGAGATTCCATATAACCTTATCTTCTTAATTTGCTGTTCAAATCTAATATGATCCTTTCTTGGATTCAACCTTTTGAAGAAAACAATTATTATTTATTTTTTAAATAAAATAATTGATAATCACAATATTAAATGTCTCTCAAATTTTTAATTAATTAGTTAATTTTCAATTAAGTAGTTGAAAATAAATAGTATTGTATAGATGAAAAGAAATGAAATTGATTATAAAAGTCCTTTTTTTTTTTTTTGCATTATTATTTTAAAATCTCAATTTTTTAGAAAAAAAAATTCCTTTATATACATATAATCTATTAAAATTTAAACTAATAATTAAAAAAATAATAATTCATTTTTACTCTACGCTAGCCTAGTCAATCAAATTTAGGCTTAACGTCTTAATTTTATTAAATTAAAACCAAACATAATTGATGAAATTAATATAAATTTCTTTATTTTTTTCAATAGTAAATTTTACTTTTGTAAAAATTTGAGTTAATTTTCATTAATTAACTAACCGGGAATTAAAGGCAGGTCACGACATGGACTAACATGTTACCAAATTCAAACTTAAGACATTATAATATCGAGCTTGAAAACTTACAAACAAAACAATGTACTTTGTTCAATTAACTTAAGTCATTTAAGACTATATATTCAAACATAAGACGTCATTTAAGGTCGGCTAAAATTTAAACCTAAGATATATATAAAACAAATTTATTATTTTTTTTTGAGTTTAATAAGATTACTAAAATTTGAGTCCCGTTCGTACTCAGTTATACATATTAGAATCAGTTGAACTATGTTCAAAAGTTCTATAGAATTAAAATATTTTTATATTATTATTTATGTCAAGTTAAAATTTGTAATAAAATTAAAAGGGTTTAAAATGGAGAGATTCCATTGCTTAAAAAGTTGTATCTATTTTGGAAGGTAGTATGAACAAAATTAAAGAGGATGATCTTGGCTGTCAAATGGGACATGACCATATAACCATAACGTATTCATTCTTGATTCCATGTTTTTGGAGGAGGATGAGTTGTTAAATAATTTTCATTTTCTTACCATAATTATTCTAATAATTTCTTCAAACAAAACACTCATCAACGTTATAAATACAGTAAGAAGGATGAGGAAGGAATCATTATTCTCAAAGAGGAAAAGAAATGGAGGCCTTCAATCTTCCTCCTTTACTTCTCTCATTCTTTCTTTTTGCTCTTTTGCAAACATCCACCATTGCAGCCAAGAAGGTTACTCAATCGTCACTTATAAATGCTTTTTAATGTTTATATTAAGTGGGCTTTCATATTCAAACGTTTATGTTGTGCAGTCTTATATTGTTTACTTGGGATCACATTCACATGGTTTGAATCCTTCTGCGGTTGATCTCCAACTTGCAACACAAACTCACTATAATCTACTTGGATCCGTGTTAGGAAGGTGAAGCTTTTCGTTTCAAATCATGTAGTGTAGATTTGTTGAACTCTCACTCTTCATTTACGCTCTTATGTTTTTGTTTCCGAGTACAGTAATGAAGCAGCCAAAGAAGCAATCTTTTACTCGTACAATAGACATATCAATGGTTTTGCAGCTGTTCTTGATCAGAAAGTTGCAGAAGATGTAGCAAGTAAAATAATTCATCCGTTTCTATGGCTATGGCTATCCTTTTGTTTGATAATGATTTTCTTTCTAATAAAATCATACTCGTTTGGTCCTAATTTATTGGGTTGCATGCTTTTATGGGAACGTTCTGACATAAAAATTCCAAAACTTTGTAGGTAGGAAGTATTCACAAGCTTAATTTTCAAAAGTCAAATAGTTATCAAGTGTGACTCATTTTTTTTAATTTAATAATGATGTTGTTTTTATTCTTTTTTTAGAGCGTCCTGATGTTGTATCAGTATATGAAAACAAAGGACTAAAACTGCACACGACACGATCATGGAACTTTCTTGGAGTTGAAAATGATGGCGGAATTCCTTCGAACTCACTTTGGAACCTTTCAAGATTTGGTGAATCTACAATCATTGGCAACCTTGACACAGGTCGGTCTTGTTTTCCTTTTATAAGTTCTTGGACATTCGGTAGCTTTTGTAATAATTTGGGCACCTCTTATTCTTCTTGTAATTGGGATCAATACAGGTGTTTGGCCAGAATCAAAAAGCTTTAGTGATAAAGAATATGGACCTATTCCAACAAGATGGAAGGGAAGTTGTGAAGGTGGATCCAACTTTAACTGCAACAGGTCCCTAACATCAAATTTCTTATTGTTACTTCACCTCTATTTAATTCTTTTATGCTAAAAAATACACACACTTTCATTTGACTAATATGTTAAGCACAGATCGGACACTTTCGTTACCAAACACTTGGAATAGTTGTTCATAATGAATGCTAATCTAAAATTTGTTAGAAGCATATTAAATCATGGTTAATGATACTAAATAGGCACGCAAATGCATAAATTTTTAAGGCAAAATTACATCAAATTCATTTGCTTGGTTAAATTACATGTATAGTTTCAAAATTTCAGATTTATATTTAAGATATCTTTTGAACTTTAAAAAGTATTTTAAAAAGTATCTAAGAAGGATTTGAACTTTAAGTTTTTGCGTCTAAAAAAAGCTTTCAAATATGTAATAGGTATGAAACATTCTAATACTTCCTCCATCTATTTAGATATTTAAAAACTAATTGATCTATTACGTATAAAATTGAATTTTATCTCTAATAAAACTCTTAATATACAATTTATTTTTAGTAGGTTCTGAATTTTAAATAAATGTCAAATGGGTATATAGTTTAGTAGATACATAAAAGTTAAGAGACTTATTAGAGGTTTCTTTTAGTTCATATATAAAAAAAAAATACAAATAAAAAAAAATTAGGAACTTGTCGTTTAATCCATGTTTTTTAAGCATACAATTGCATAAATTCATAGACTTTTTAGTTTTCTTCTTACATAAAATGATATAGATTTATCTTTTTCCAGTGTTTGTATTCTCGTTAATCTTTGTATCAAATGCTTGTATCAGTACGTATGACAATTTGAAATGCAGGAAGCTGATTGGAGCACGGTATTTCAACAAAGGCTATGCATCTGTTGCGGGACCTCTCAACTCAAGCTACGAAACAGCAAGGGACGACAATGGGCATGGAACACACACCTTATCCACGGCGGGAGGCAATTTTGTTGAAGGAGTAAGCATTTTTGGGAATGGTTATGGCACTGCAAAAGGGGGTTCCCCTAAATCCCTTGTTGCTGCCTATAAAGTATGTTGGCCTCCCGTGGAGGATGGTGGATGTTTTGTGGCCGATATTTTAGCTGGCTTTGAAGCTGCCATTAGTGATGGAGTTGACGTGCTGTCGGTTTCACTCGGTGGACGTGTTCAAGAATTTTATGACGATATACTAGCTATAGGGTCCTTCCATGCAGTGAAGAACGGCATCACTGTTGTTTGTTCTGCTGGAAATTCAGGACCATATGAAGGCACTGCCTCAAATGTTGCACCATGGATGTTAACGGTAGGAGCTAGCACAATTGATAGGCTTTTTACCACAAACGTGACATTGGGAGACAAGAGGCACTTCAAGGTACTCTATTCGACACTTGTTAGTATCATATAGTTATGTTCTTGACACTATTTATACAAATAGTTAGGTAAGTATCGAACCATTTTTAAACATAGTAAATTTTATTGGACATATAAAATTGTATCGTATACGTGTTTCTATATTTTTATCGATTGAACTTAAGGCTCTGTACTACGTTTATGTTGACTTCAATGATTTTTCATTGTCAATACCAGGGTGAAAGTCTTTCAGGTAAAATATTGCCAGCTAAGAAGTTCTATCCGTTGATTCGTGCTTTAGATGCAAAATTCAACAATGTCTCTGATTATGAAACGTGAGTATATTTTTATTTACATTATACAAAACATCTCTAAATGTTGGATACATTTCAATCACGCCCTAGTCTTTAAAATTAACACTTGAATTTTGAAATAGATCCAAAAACGAGCCTTTAAGGAATTTTCTTTTAAAACCATATAATGTAAATTTGTAAGCGAGATACATTTTGAGTTGAAATAAACAATAAACTTTAATCATATGTTTTCACCCTAATAATTAGAATAAATTGACAGTAGCACATGATATTAAGCAAAAGTTATTGTGATCTTGCAGCGGACTGTGTCTTGAAGGGACTCTTGATCCTAAAAAGGTAGAAGGAAAAATTGTAGTTTGCCTCAGAGGAGACAATTCAAGAGTGGACAAAGGTTACGTGGTTGCTCAAGCAGGTGGTGTAGGGATGATTCTTGCTAATGATTTGCTTGGTGGGCGTGCACTTTTGTCTGAAGCACACATACTTCCTGCTTCACATATAAGTTATACCGATGGTGAATCAGTCTACAAATACATCCAGTCTACTAAGTAATTACTCTATCTTATTCCATCAACTTCCACGTTTATTCTCGAAGTATTTTAAACTTTATGATCTATTAAACATAAACTTAACATGAATTTAGAAGTCCCAACGTTTATTCTCAAAAGTTGCAACTTATATGTCATGTTTTGTGGTTGAATCAGAACTCCAATGGCTTATATGACTAGCGTGAGGACTGAGTTGGGAATCAAACCAGCACCAATTATGGCTTCATTCTCGTCAAGAGGTCCCAACGTAATTGAGCCCACAATACTGAAGGTTGGTTAAGAATGATGTGTTGAGTAATTTTATGGTATAAAGTTCAATATGTCAACCGCTAACAATCACAAATTTTAAGTACTGCATTTTTTTTTTTTTAATTTCCAGCCTGATATAACAGCACCAGGTGTGAACATACTAGCGGCTTTCTCTAACATAGCACCACCGACTCATTCACATTTTGATAAACGTCGGGTTCTATATAATGTTTTATCGGGCACTTCCATGTCATGCCCCCACATTTCTGGCATAGTTGGCCTTCTCAAAACCCTTTATCCAAAATGGAGTCCAGCAGCTATCAGATCTGCAATCATGACCACAGGTTAATTATTCAAAATTCTTTCATCATTTTAAAAGTTAACGAACTAATTAAACTAGTTATTTATTACTATGAATAGTAAAAAGATGCTATTTATGATATTTGCATTAAGATACATTTGACTTAAATCTTGCTGACTATGGTTTTGTTTTGTAGCTGAAACGAAAGCTAATGACTTAAATCCAATACTAACCTCAATAGAGGAGAAAGCAGGCCCATTTGCATATGGTGCAGGCCATGTCCAACCAAACAAAGCAGCAAATCCTGGCCTTGTTTACGACCTCTCCACCCAAGACTACTTGAACTTCTTATGCGCCCGTGGCTATAATAAAACACAAATGAGACTATTCACTAATGATACTTCATTTGTTTGTTCAAAATCATTCAAAGTAACAGATTTGAACTACCCATCAATCTCCATATTTGATCTGAGATCAAAGGAAGTGAACATCAAAAGAAGAGTGAAAAATGTAGGAAGTCCAGGCACGTATGTTGCTAAAGTAGAGGCACCGCCAGGAATTTTGGTTTCAGTAGACCCAAGTACTTTGAAGTTCACTAAATCGGATGAAGAGAAGGATTTCAAAGTTGTGTTGAAGAGGGTGCCAAATAATCAAACTGAAAATCATGTATTCGGAAAACTAGTGTGGTCTGATGGGAAGCATCGTGTTAGTAGTCCAATTTCTGTGACACTATTGATGTGGTAAAAGATGCACATGAGTTGAGCTTAGCTTATTTAAGCTAAAATTTCTTGTCATGTTCACCGTTCTTATGGCTAATAATAATGGATTTTTCGTTGTTTTTTTCTTAAGTTTAATTTATTTAAGTTTTCTATGTTGAATGGTCTAAAAAGAGCAATAAAAAATGTAGATAATGTTGGTTTTGACCGGCGATCGTAATATACTAAAACAAAAGAAATGAAGTAGAAAGAACGACTTGAGGGGAGAGTTTCTTGGGCTAAGAACAGTAACACTAGAATTCTTTTATGTTGTCGTGAATAGAGCATACATTTGATGAGTATTTATTAGAAAGATAATACAAACAAAATTTACTGAACTTTCAACCCTATTATTATTGGATTCTTGTTTCTTTAGAGTTCTACCTCTAGACCTCTTTAGTTGAGATGGTACGTTTGATGAAGTACCCTAACTTGTAGATTGCTCTTTTTTTACTGAAGTAACCTCTAAACGGATAAATGGATAAAAAAGGGACTCACACGCGTCAAAAAGGGGTCTTACGCGCATTTACCACACGCATGTATTGTCACAATTACACTTATGTGGCAACGGGATAATGATTGTGTAACACTTGCTCTAGCTTGATGAACAAGTCAATTGTGTGAAAATCAAACTTATAGAATAATTTTGACATATGATCTAGCTTCAAGTCACATTTGGTAGAAAAAATTTTATGTAACGTGAGCGAGAAAATAATTTGAAAAAAAATAATGTTATAGGGTAAAAGCGAATAAGAAATAACCACAAGATTGATAACATATAACCAGGGTAAAAAAAAATTGACTATTAGCCACATCCCCTATGTACATTTTGGGGCAGTTTTGTCTTAGTAGATGTAGACATGATTTTGGTAAACAACCATATGCTCCCTGACAGGAAGAGTAAGGACCTAACTATACATAAAAGCAAGTAAAATGAGTTTAGAATGGGCATACGACATGGACAACATGGACAACATGTCTTAGACAAGTATAACTAAGACATTCGACACACAAACATAGGCAAGACACCTTGGACAAGCATGATCGTTGTTTCCTTCCCACTCAATTGGTTGACATCTTTGTCAATCGACTCTTCACGAACTCAGCAATGTTCGGTGAGGCTAGGTCTTTCAACATGCTTCCAGCTAATCTCACATTGAGGAGTCTCTTCCAATCTACCAAACTCTCAAATCGTCAACTCTTCGCATGTTATCTATTAGTCTCTCCTAAATTATTTTTGGTCCAACTCTTCTTCGTTTAATGAGGTCATACCACCTCCTTGTGCCTGCAGCCTTCTTGGTCGATATAGTAACATTTCAAGTTACTGACATGGATAGTAGGGCTAGTCAACATCTGTTGGATTTCAAATAATCGGCCGAGAAATCTTTTATTTTCGGTGAGAGGAAATTGTCGACAACAGGTTGTTAGAAGGAAAATAAAATGCGTAAAATAAGAAGAGAGAGAATGATGAAATTTTGACGGCCCCAGTTGTGAAAATATTGGAACAGATTTCCTATTTAAATAGAACCTATCCTACAAATGGCTGGAGAGTGGCCAACTGAATCTGTGCCACTTCCTCCTAAATTGCCGTAGTGTTTGTCAAATGGTAAAACGTAGCCACTTCGAGAATGAAGGTAATCGTGTAAAACGGAGAATGAAGGTAATCGTGTGAATCTAAATTAGGAAAAATCAGGTTTTATCTAACAATCTTCTCCTAAAACCTGTGGTATATCTACCGAGCGTGCCGAGACGAGTGTCTCGGGGCGACTTCCTTTGAAATGGGTTTTTGAAGGATAGTACCGGACGGCACGGGTGTGCCGGTATTGCGCCCTAGCCCGCGTGTTGGAGATTGCTACATACACCCGCTATCCGGTACGGTATCCGCAAATGACTCGGCATGGGCACGGGAGGGCCTATGCCTCGATAGAACCCGGATGGATGGATGTTCGGGAAGTCCCGATGAGACGAACGACACGCGGGCCCATTCTCGATGGCATGACCGAACGAGTTACGATGAGCGACGACATCCCGAGACTCGGGATGGCGTCAAGACATATGGACTCTGTCGATGGGGATCGAGATGGCAAGATGAGATGCGACGTTGTATTGAGAGACCTTGGCCCGAGCAGAGGCAAGGTCGAGCCGAATGAGTTGGCCTAGCGTAGAGGCAAGTCGGATGTGTCGCAGATGATTGAACATACACGCACAGGCGGCGTGTGTGGTTGTTCCCCTTTTTCTTTCATTTGTATTATGCTGGAACCGAAGTCATTAGAATACCGATTCCTCTATTGAAAAGTGTTTCCTCCTATTTTCTTTCTTGTCTATCTTCTTTCATCTCTATCGGAGACCCGTATTCGTATTTGGTCCGATCCAAAATGATTCTATCATTTCTGTATCTGCAATTCAATATAGATAGATATATAGACATATCTATTTGCCCCTCTTTCTATTATTTTTATAGTGCAATTTAGAATAAAACGGTCGATTCCTTTTTTCGTCTTAGCTTCCACCTTTCAGAATGAAAACAGAGAAATGCTTCATTATCATCTGAATTGCATTTAGCATTTAGTTGGTTGGATTGCACCTTTTCATTTTTCTTTATTTATTCTTACCCTTAGGGCAGATCCTCTATAACATAACTAAAAATAACTTGATTATTCGATAAATTATTTAATTATAGAATTATAATTAATATTATATTAATAGAATAGCCATTAACCAATTATTCCATGGTTCACCTCTTCCTAATAGCATTGAGTCTCGGGATGAAGTAGACGCCGGTCAGCTTGTGATGATTGCCTCCCTTGCCGACGGGGATTTGATTCCCTCCCAGGCCGATTGCGCGGTGCGCTTGGTGGAGAGAGATGCCAACTCGACCCGTCATCACGGCATTATTTAATTATAGAATTATAATTAATATTATATTTAATAGAATAGCCATTAACCAATTATTCCATGGTTCACCTCTTCCTAATAGCATTGAGTCTCGGGATGAAGTAGACGCCGATCAGCTTGTGATGATTGCCTCCCTTGCCGATGGGGATTTGATTCCCTCCCAGGCCGATCGCGGTGCGCTTGGTGGAGAGAGATGCCAACTCGACGCCCGTCATCACGGCATCGGCCACAGCCTCTTCGTGGTGGTGATGGAGCCTCTTCGTGGTGGTGATGGAGATGCCGACACTTGGCGACATGGAGGAGTGAGCAAGCCTGCTCGAGATGGACCCCACGATGTGTTTTATTTTTGCACTTTGCATTTTCTTCTACTCGAACCTGAGACCTATGTGTTGTTAGGTCAACGCTCTAGCCACTTGAGCTATTCAACTTGATTGTTGATAGGTTGGCTCCTCTGCAATGATATACACCGATAGTGCTAGAAGGAAAATAAAATGCGTAAAATAAGAAGAGAGAGAATGATGAAATTTTGACTGCCCCGGTTGTGAACTATTGGAGAGTGGCCAACTGAATCTGTGCCACTTCCTCCTACAAGTCACGAACAAGAACTAGAGGGTCTAAGTACTGACAACAAGAACAAGACAAGAAAGAGTGTGGTGCCCTAGCATATCAATGACACGATTAAGAGTCTACAAGTAGGCTACTTGCTGAGTCTTTGTACTCATTCCTTATTTTCCATTTTTTTCAGGTAATAAGGAGCTAGTCGAGATTGGGAGTGGACTCTAGAGCAGGTGTCATAGACAAGCCTCACCCGTCATCTTCAACCCTTTTGTGTTAAAACGTTTCGTATCCGTTCCTTATTTTATGTTTTAAATGTTATGTCGTGTATTAATTATTCATATATGAGCAGTATTTTGTTTTAACGAATGTTATGTTTAAAATAAAGTTTGTATTATTTCGTGAAAAAATTTATCCGTCTTTTTAGAGTCATTAGTCAGCCCCATCCTTATAGGTTTACAACAATTTCTTCCAAAAAAAAAAAACCTTCAAAGCTAGTCTTCAAAATCCCTATTTTAAATATTTTAATATATTTTTCTACAAATTTCTTCCCTTATTTTAGCCACTTCTTATTTCTTGAGCCCTAGAGATTCTTTCTTTATAATTTATTAAAAATTCAAGAAGTTCATTAAAAATGGAAGAAAACTACATACTTTCCTCTTTCTTTTCCATTTCATTTGGGCATTACAACTTGTGGGACAATTCTTAATAAGTATGCCCGTGAGGAATAAAAGTTAAAAGACATCTCGAGACTTGGGGTGACATATGAAGCATGTGGTCCGTGTCGTTGAGAAGCAAAACATCGAAATGAGATGTGATATTACATATGAAGGACATTGGCCTAGAGTAGAGGAAAAGTAGAGGCAAGTCGGCTATAGTCATAATCGAGTGAACATACACATACATGCAACGTTAATATTGCATCGTATACGTGTCTTTGTATTCGTATCGGTTGAGTTTTTTACTCTATATTATGCTTATGTTGTCTTTAATGATCTTCAATTGTCAGGTGAAAATCTTTCTCACATAATATTGCTACCTCAAAAGTTTTATCAATTAATCCGTGCTTTTGATGCAAAAGCCAACAATGTCTCTTGACAACCATGCCTTAGCTTACCTTCATTGTATAACAAACATGATAGCCAATGTTAAGATTAATTTTGGAATGATGACGACACTCACATGATATTATGCAAAACTTATTGTGATCGTGTAGTATACTATGTGAAGAAGGGTCTATTGATTTTGAAAAGGAAAAATTTTAGTTTGCTTTGACTAGGACAATGCACGAGTACACAAAGGTTACGTGGATGCTTAAGCAGGTGCTGTTGGGATGACTCTTGGCCAATGACGAGGAAGATGGGGATGGACTTGTGGCTTGACAATGATAGATTATCACACTAAGGATTATTGGTCGTACTAGCCGTGACAGGGCAACATTAAACGAAACAAACTTTAGGAACTTCATAAACTCTTTAGTAGAGACACCACAAGTTCAACGCAGGAGGCCTTCTAGTCACTAATTTAGACTATCGTGGAGAGTCAGTTGAGTCAAGGGTCTAGATTTGTTGAAATTTATGCCTTAAAATTTTACAATATAGTATTTAATTTTTAAGAATCATTTTGATTATTTTAT